TAAATCTCTCCCGTTGATGGAGATTGGTGCTGGTTGTTGTTGTTACTGTTGGTTGGTTGCTTTTCTTCATCACGTCCGTCTTCTCTGTGTTCACCTGCAGTCCTGTTTTAGCTGCTTGCTTCTTCAACCAGTTTGCTGGTTTTAGCCTGACAGCAGGTCATCGAGTTTCTGTTACATTAGACATTTATCATCTGCAAAATCCAGATGTTCTAGAGTCTTCTTATCGGTCGTCCAGTGTATTCCTGACTCCTCGCCCCCAACAGTCTAACGCATAATACAGTCCACCACAGTTAAGAATATTATCGATGATAATAGGCAGCTAGACTTGTCTTACTCTTGTATTCACTTCGAACGCCTTGTTGAGTTTTCCGTTGTGGATTATCTGGCACAAAGCATTGTAATATAGCTGTTGAGTGAGGTTGAACAATGTAAAACCTTGGTTTATTAGACGATAAGGTAGGACAGATTTTATTTAGTATTTTAAAAGTAATCTTAAAGTATCCGTTCGATGCTGTGTTGCTTTTCATTGAGTATGAGTATCAATATTTGAGGTAATCTTTTCATCATCATATCAGCCTTCATTTTTTTCTGTTTTAAAAATTTGCATTTTCTACGACGTTAAGAAAAAAAATGCACACACAATGAATTAAAAATGCAACCGTCCATCTATCAAAATAATTATTAAGATAGAGAACAGACACTACCGTTCATTTTCTAACTAAAGCTTCCTTTTTCTATAGTACAAATTATTCACCTAGCAAATTTTAATTTTATTTGCTCATAGACCTTAACATGTTTAACGTCACTCTTAACTTAGTACGTCGGCGGTAGAATTCTCATAATCCCCGTTTCACGTTATCCGGGTTTCCATCTCCCGTCAACACATAACTAAGCCTCATTAAACCGGTAATAAGTCCGGTAAAGGGGGACGATTCGGTGAGGGGTTAACAGTCTCATTCTCGCAGAAATAAACACCACTGCTACTGAAACTTCAAAGCTCCTGTGTGAAGCCCAGTGTTCCACTGGGAACACAGAGGAATAAAAATTCATGCTAAGCTATATTAAAGTTTACTTTTAAAGCTGTTCACAGTAGAAAGCAATATTTACCTATTTCCTGACTTGAAATGCTTTGCTGTGTTTAGAAATAATATAAAATTGAAAGTCAAGAAAACATGTTACTGTTGTTGTGCTTGTTATTGTTGTTCTTTGCTTAATTTCGAAAGTCTTTTTACTTACTCAACAAATATATTTCTTGTGATAATATACAGAGAATATTTTAGTTACCGCTTTAACTTATAATAGCAGGTTCACACAAATTCTGCAGCAGAATCATGTAGAGTGAATAGCAATATACCTGTCGAGTGACATGGTCAAATGATGGGGGATACCATTAAATGAAAACGAAAAATGCACTCAGGTGGAGGAAATGAGCAAAATAAATAGCCTGTGTTATTTTAAAAACAATTAGAATCAGCGATGAATCAGTCATTTTTAAGCATCCGTAGAATCTGGTAGACTCTGGATAGAAAGCATACAGTTTCGTGTAAAGGTTGAATAAATAATATACAGTTTTATAAATAAGTCGACATAAGATATTGGTTTTATCACGTGAATCAGTATCTTACACCTATATCTTATCATAGATTCATCAATGGGTATACTATATTAGGTCATTCTTTTACAGACGCCCATATAGAATAGTATTTAGGTGCCATTAATGTGAATTTAATCGCAGTAAGTAATTTTATACGTTCATTGTAGTTTTGTTTTCTGTCACAAATGTACGGTTAATACTAGTGGATGTCATTCAGAGGTTGTGCTATTGTTAAGACATTGTTTGTGTTTCTTTGCATTCCGAGTGGAACAGTGAACTTCAAGCTTGAGCACAAAAGTTTCAGTAGCACTGATGTTTATCTTTACGGCAGGGAGTTTTGTAGCCTCGCAACCAGCCTTTCCTCTTTACCGAACTCATTACAGGCTAAGCAATGATTGGGAGTCTGTTGGCAGGGGATGGAACCCCAGAACACGTGAGCTGTGGCAAGCGATTATTTTGTCACCGAATAATCGATGCAAGTTGAGACGTTATTTTGACTATGAATGCGTTTGATTTGATAGAAATCCGCAGGAAGTAGATTAAATAAATTAGAACCATTTTTAAACCATATATCTAAGTGAAAAAAATGTCAAGCAGCAAGTACCATCTCACCACATTTATTGATATTCAGCTAGTTACCAAGAAAATAAGATAAGACAAAATATTCTAGCTGGTTGATCAGGATTTTGAAACACCCATTACGCTTAACAAATGCTTGTTCATTTACTTTGCATGCATGTGTGTTAGGTGAAAAATGTAAACTGTTCACGTGTTTCAATGACATTTTATTTCCACCAATTCTAACAAATATATTTAGATAGCTAAAAAGACTGTTCGTAAATCTAACCAATTATTCTTATCGCTTTAACTTGTTTTTGATATTTTGGAATAATTTAATTAACTTAAATCGTTGTTATGCCACTAAATCTAAATCGAATATCTAATTAACTTGGCTTCTTGTATGCATGTTTTCTACAATGACGAGTGATTTTACTATCTGTTGTACCAGTAATAAAAAACGTCTTCAACTGTTTCCTCCTGCAAAGTTCATCATTAAAATTAATATGAATGAACCTCTGAGAGTTCTAAAAAGTATTAATTTTCTATAAAACTACTTAATAACTACAGCATAACAGGTATTCATTCTTATCATGAAATCGCCTCATATCAGATAACAGGACACGATTAAATGCCTTAATGCTTTCAGATAGATTCAGAAAAACTAAATTATAGGGTAGATCCCAAATTGACATGAGTTACATAACCAGTAGAAAACCAAAGAGTAATGGACAGCTGTTTCCTCCCAGTTTAGGTTTCTCTGACAGTACGAACCCATGACTCCACTGGTTACAAGGCGAGCCCTTAGATCATTCAGTTACTGGGATGGAATCCTGCAATCCATAAATTCTAATTTCCGTCGGTTCACGGTATATATATATATATATATATAAAGCAACCTCCAGCCATTTTCATAGGCGAGTAAATGTTGTCTTAACTGACTTGGTGGACCACGCTGGTCTACGAACCATCTTTGTAACCGGAAGGTCCAGGATTCAAAGCTTAAGGGGTGTGTACTGGTGATGAGTCCCCAACTAGAACTAGATAGCTATTCAGTAATCCTTATTTTTCCAGTGGTTCTCTTACTGACGTCAGCTCGTAACCAAACATGTAATCAATCTGTTTCTTACAAACTAACACTTTTTATAACTAAATCACAGATGATAATTTTGAATTTATCACTGGGTGTAGCATAAATAGCTCAAATAAGATATTGTAAGCCTCAGGGTGAAGCGAATCTCGCCAAAAGCTTGACTTTATTGATGACCACCATTCTGTATATGCAAAAATGAATACCAAACGCTTTTAATTCTCATTCTAAGCTTAAGTATATATAATAAGAAAAGTTAAAGTATATGTAAACTGAAATTAGACTGTGCAATCTTCTACCTGAACTTTTTTAAACTTTATCTCAAACAGACATTTGAATAATTAAAACCGTATGGAACATTATAAAAATTTTTCAAAAATGAGTTACTGTCTTGTTATTTTAGCTATAGAAAGTGCTCGTCAATGATTTTCCATTGCTGGCGATTTTTATTCCACTTTTCAAAGATTCGTCAGCTGTTTAGATATATTTCAATTTCAACTGTGATTCACAGTAGCGAACAGACTTGAAAGTGAAAAAAATTTGTCACTTCTAAACTTTTTACCCCAACAGTAGTATAAGATTCAAAGGACTAGTCGTCTCCAGTAAAAAAAAAACATTACCGAAAGACAAGCTTTTGTAAATCAAGTCGTGTTTCCCATGCAGAAGATACATGTATGAAATTACTGAATAGATGTGAAATATGAACAGCAGACACAAAAAAGTGATCTGTTGTTCATCGGAAAGAGCACAAAGTGTCTATTGAGATGACCTGACTGTTCCAGTTTGTTACGTTTTGTAGACACTGTGAAATTGCATGACGGATTTCTAAAAGTCATTCTGATGAGAACGGTCTAAGTGAAGTGGAATGATATATTCGAAATAAAAGAGAAGGAACTATTGTCTTGTACACAGAGGCGAAACTCATATTTGTTGGTACCTATCTTTGTTGTGACTATTGACAGTACGCTGTTACACAGTAGAAAAAATTATATTATTTTATAATCTGACTCATGGCGTATGTTTCTGTTGATAAGGTGGTTATTCTCCAGAGTGGTTTAAAAATAACATGTCTAGAGAGTATGCTCCACTTCGTATTATCCGTTTATCAAGAAAGAAATAGTGGAAGTGGGATTAATGTTGTTTTAGTTGATGATGACTAGCTGCGGACTCCATGGTGTGCATTTCGTCCTATTTAGGACTTCTCAGCTAGGACATGTCAACATGCCAGCAGAGACCGAACATTTCTGTTCAGCTTAATCCACCAGCCAAATATGCAAATCAGACTTAAAACACATCAAATAAAAACTGAAATGAAATTCCAAAAATTAACAAATTAAGTAAATGTCTGTTAATTTGTTATTAGTATGTCTCTCTACCACTGATTATCATTGGAACAGAGTTATATCCAGTTTTTTAATCTGTCCAGCGAGCACTGAGTTTAGAAGTGCACCTTAAAATTATCTTAGCTTTTTAGTTGGGGTGAACAACTTTATATTTATATGATATGTGTAATGCTGATGAGAACGACAGAATGTTATAACAATCGACTGAGTGTTATTACTTCTAAGGTATGAAATTTACTTACACTATTTGTCAATAGATGATAGAGTATTCAAGCTGAAAACTCATAATCAAAATTTAAGCAGTCACCTGTTACTTCCCTAATTAAATGCTTGTCAACATATTTACTTAATGACCACTAACTTCTATCAATTTCTTTTCAACTTTTTTCAACATTTTCGCCCCGAAATTTTCAAGGCTGTATTCTGTGGCTATATGGTCTAACTAAAACACGTTGGAATGTTCAAAGTGAGAACCATACTACTCAACCCGGTTCATTAGCAAGTGGAATTAACCTTCTGCGCTCAACGTCTAATTTTAAGCGTCTAAACAATTCTACTACAACCTACATTACTGAAAATAAATTTTGTAAATTACTGTCAAATGCATCAAGTGTTTTAAGGAAGACAACAACATCTAAACTTCAGGATAATTCGTCATTTCGATTACCTTTGAGAACCTGTTGCACTGATCAAGGCTATTTATCTGATACACATTACAAATCCTCTTGTAATTATAATCATTCATCGTGTTTTCTTGACCATGAGATTAATGGTGAGACACGAATTGGTGGATCTTGGATTTCAGGCTCAGGATCGTTTAACTCTTCATTGGATGCAGAAAGCAGCATTAGAAGTTTTCATAGTCTTGGAAAGTTTGGTTATCCCAGTGGTGCAAATAATTTTGCTGACTTTTCCTTCAGGTCATCACAACAATTTACAATGAGAAATCAGTTATACGATGCAGGATGTCTCCCTTCATTTTGTCTGGAACAATGGAAAAAATTATTTGAGGTGGATCCCGACAAGAAGAAGTGTTTATATAATGGCGACTTACAGTTAATTTACAAATCGAAACTCGACTTACTTAAACAGCATCAACAATATTTATCTGGTAAGAGTAAAGATAAAGGGGATAATTCCACAAGGGATGGGACCACTGAAATACTAAAGGTTATTCATCATGATAATGGTAATGAAGATAATTTAGACAAAAGTTATAACGACAAGGAATCTTCTAGTGAACCAATAAATTCAGAAGAGAAAATGAACAGGGGATCATCGCAACGATATCAACACAATACTGGTACAAAGTATTATGAACTAATGAACATGACAAACGAAAAATCACAGACATCCGCAGAGAAGAATATTAAACTGAAGCCGAAATTCATACTGACGCGTGGTATACATGTATTTGATTTTGAATTCCAACTACCCGCAGACCTGCCCGGTTCATTTGAATTACCAAGCAACTGTCTAGCAGGAGGTGCTTCAGCTAGCATTACATATGCTGTACGCATTGAAATATACAGTAATCGTTCAAAGATGAAACATGTACAACAAAGAGAGATTATTGTATTTAGACCACTGGAATTAATACATTTTCCAAGATTAAGAGTAAGTCCACTTCAAGTGTGCCTATTTTTAAAATATATTAATATTTTGTTACAAATTTTTTACCGCTGCTTTGTACCTCATGAAAAAAAACTTCTAAAATGGGAAGATTTATGAGTAGTTGATTCACTTATTTTTCCATATCTGAAAACTTTTACTGACAGTGTAACAAGTAGCATATTCAGTTTGATGTTAACAAATATTCGGGTGCAGGGTTTGTGAGATTAGAGTGGAATTCAGTAGCCTGTGGGTTTTAAATTCTGTGTATTCGCCCTATGATGCCATCGGCGAGTATCTGCCTAATGGATCACACCTATCTCAGCCTCTCACTTGAATTCTAGAAGTCAAGAAGTTGTTCACTGATGAGCATTGGTTTGATTTTAACGTCTTCGTTTAAATAATAATGCATCTACCTCGTGACTTGACCTGATAAGTTTCTTGGGCACAGACTGCTGAAGAATCTTAAACTGGGAGGAAGTGTCTGTTTGATGACCTCCGGTTTTCACTGCTTCTCCAAATTATGGTCAACAGTTATCGCCTTGACGTGGTGGCCGGTCTCACATATTGCACTGACCCAACAGGCCACACTGCATAGAAATAGTGCTCCTGTAGGTTCTACCATACTAGAAAAATTGATTAAATAACCGTTGGGCTGAAAGCAGTTTCTATTATAGTGTAAGTGGTTTAGATTATGTTGGGAGTTTCTGGATGAATTTATACTGTGGTGAGAACGGGCTGCAAGCCAAAATTGTATACAACAATTTATGTCAATGTTCACGTCCCGAATCAGGGTTATGAGAGAAACACTGACGAAGCTTAACCTTGAGAAAATCACCAGCCAATCACAGCGGAATTAAAGTGTGGAAATATGATTCGCAGATATATGGCTTGATTTTTTGAGAAACGGTCACAAAGAGATAACAGAATAACCTTCAGCAAGAAAACAACCAGTCAGACAAGGGTGCTTCTCCGCTAATAGTAATGTACGTAAAATTCTATAAATATCTCTTGATTTTCTCAATAAACGTTCTGTTGTCTGGTCCTTGTCTTCTGTTGTTACAATACTACTTGTGGATGAAGCGTGATGACAATACGTTATTTCACTCTCACGACCAACAAACCAGATATATTGCTTTGCCTCTTTGGGGAGTATTGATTAAAAATATTGGTACCAAGATCTGTACTGTTTCTCTTCTAAATAGTTCTAATAAGTTACGAAATCCCGTGGTGGGAGCATCATGGAAGGGACAACTGCACATACACTTCGATTACCACAGAAAGTTATTCTATTCGTCCACTGGGTAACTATAATAAAGTCGAAAATAAGACCGCAAAGATGTACAAATCTTTTAGGTTATTTTATGTGTCTCCAAATTTTTGTGGCCTCGTATGTTTCACTGTTTTCATTCTTATCCGTGTACTCAGACCCATTGGAACAGATGCTTAAATGTCAGTAGAGTGTCCTTAATTACTATTATTTGGTTGACATTGCAAGTTGAATTTTGCTCGGATTTTATTTGAATAATGTTTTTGTTACTGCAAGCATAATTTATGTAGTTGCTTACCATCAGTGTGTAACACCTATTGACATATTTTTCATTAAGTTTGAATAAATTTCCTACACGCGAGAAACGTTGGGTGGGAAACATCCACTCAACAATTGTTGAGGACTGTTCTACAGTTATTCTGAAGATTGTTCAGTGTTTTATTTTGAAGTCTAATTTAACTAAGGTACATTCCCCCGTCTTTGTCACACTTTGACCATTGATAAGAATCTGCTGCAACTGTCACCACCAAATTAACCAAACGACTATTGGATTGCTCTTCCCCACCTCCCTCTCTGAAAGATTTCTTATTATGCAATTTTTCCTTTCATTCTTCTGGAAAATGTAAATGTTTCAGCTTGTACACTTTTATTGGAAGTTACAGCTTTTCATACTCCATACTATAGCTAGTTATGAAATGTGTTTTCTAGGTATTATACACCGTTCGAATCGTGTCAGTTAATTCCTCTATTGAGAATAGTGGTGACACAAATAAATGAACAAATTAAAAAAACTTGAAAATTGATCTGATGCTCACTAGCTACTGGCCCTATTCAGTCAGTGACCTGGGGTTCTAATGGGAAGCCATGGCCAGTAGGGTGCAGCAGGTTGAAGGTGAAGCAGTAACTCATCGAAGAAGGCACTGCGAAGTGGTCGCGCTATGTCATGAATTAGCAGAAGTTACAATTCATGGGGTAGCCACTGGGTAGGGTCACAGTGGCTTAATGGTCTACGAACTCGCCTTGTAACCAGGAGGTCCTGGGTTCGAACCCCGGCGGATGCGCACTGCTGAAGAGTCCTAAACTAGGAGAAAAAACTGCCTATGTTCCCAGGTTTTCTAATGGTTCTCTAAATGATGTCAGCTCATAATGAAACCCTCCAACTAATCAAACACAATCCCTACGAAACCAATACTTGAAAATACACTTAACTTGCAGATAGTTTATGTCGCTGGTAGTGACTGTATGTGGATAAAGATAATTAGTGAAGTAGATTCAAGTAAATCAATGAGGAAAACTGACTCTGAACGTATTAGTCTAAATCATTACCAACTGTGGTCCGCTTAAGTTGTGGAAAATTTCCTTCTGAATCTTCACTGCATACCCACCTTCTAGTTTATTTTTGTCTTATTTTACTCACACTTCTTGCTTAATACTACTTCAAAGCAAACTTTTTGTAACTCAATGTCGCTGCGTTCATCTGATCTTTTTCCGCTTTAATATCTCTTGGGGGGTTAAATGTAGGTGGCGATCGCATTCTGGTACAGTAAAATGGTTTAATAATAAATATACTCCTTTTAAAACTATTTTTATTCAGATAATGAAAAAAGAATAGTCTCTACTGACATAAATATACCAATTAAATTCTCTTAAATTAGTAAATATTGATGAAAACACTATGTCTAGTTATTACAGTTTACTACAGTACAAATCCATAAAATATATTACACTTAAAATCACTAAGCGACATCTGTTAAAAAGACATTTTAATTCTGTAATTGTTGGTAATATCTAACAGCTAAATGACTGTCAAACAAATATTTAGCTTGTTTCGAATTCAAGTTGTATGAAACGACAGTGAAGCAATGTTCCAGAAGATCTAAAAATACCACTTTTTGGCAAAATTTACACCAGAATTCTGTGCTCCTGAAGTAATCCGACATGACAGTAGCTGATCGACGTAATAACCTAGGACAAACTTTCCATAGGTGCAAAGTGAATTACAATCTTTTCGTGTGATTATTGCATATTTCTAAAAGCAAAGTAAAGCAAGCGTTCATTAAATTGGAACACTAAATTTTAATAATATAGTATTGCTAAAAATGTATGAATATCAGAACAAAAACTTTTTAATAATATGAAGCAAAAATATCCAATGGGAACGTTACAAATACCTGCCTGTCAAGATATAATTCAGATGTCACAAATACTACTGAAACAAGACTGCTGTCGATTAAATTTAAGTACCTTGTTAGTTGGCTGCATCTGCTTTACAGTAAACAGTGGTGTTCTGCATAAAACAACTTGAACACAGAATGCTCTATTCTAAATGCTTAAGGGTTAAATTATACTGACCACTACTCGTTTGTTGGATTTAGTTTATTTTAGCGTAGATGAGTTGTTAGATTCTGAACAGGCAAAATTAAGTGTTCTCAACCCCACCGTTCAGAACCACTAGGTACATAATTGAGAAAAGCAATCAGATTTGATTAGTCCCTTACCGACTTTAGTGGCATTGACTTCCATTTGAAAGATATCTTCAAAGACACAAGTGATTTCTGGGAAAAATTAGGGACCCGTCAGTTTACAAAGCCTTTAAGAGGGTTTTAATGGTAGGCCTGAAGAATTACCTTGTGTTGTGCTAAGTTTCATCTAAACATACTTAGGCAGTTCAATGCACTAATACATTTTAGGACCCTGTCATAAATCTGTGGAAGAAATCTCCTGACGAATTAAAGTATATTTCCAGCACGTACCGTGTGATTTATTCAGTTGCATACTTGATATCAAAGAGCAGTTGTAGTCCTAAAAGCAAAGTTAATATCTCTTTAGAGAAATTCTGAAATGGGAATAAATTTTCAAAATAAAAACTGTCAGGATACTCGGTCTTCAGTTTTAATTTACAGAAATAAAGGTGACATTCCTTTAGTCCAATATTAAAATTTTCGATTAACTATGAAATAGGGGTGAGGTCTGTGAGTGAATCGATGAAAGGTGTTTAAAGAATGTTCCTGGATGAGAATAGTTTTATCCATCAAATTTTCACGTCTAAAGAAAATAAAGAAATGAGATAAATCAGAATTCTAATCCTAACTTATAATGAAAAACAGCACGATGAAACCTTCTCACACCTGCTGATATGAAGAAAGAACAACCCTAGTTTCATCATCAGATTGTAACTGAAGCGTCTTCGGCCAAATATCAAAGCTCAGAGAACACTGAACAATTTTGAGGACTAAATGTATTTGCTGAGTAATTATAGTATGGAGTAAAATTAGTTTTTACGCTGAAAAGACTAAGGAAATATAACTTCAACAAATGAAGATCGGTGCAAAGTAACAATAGTGAGGTGTGAAACGAATATGTTTGATTTGAAACTAAGTGAGAATTAGTATAGTCCTTATTCTTCCGGGTCGTGTGCACGGCTGTTATTTTATTCTCAGCTCGCCAGAAGAAGCACTGTCGCTTAACATTGCGGCCCTTGTTTCAGGTAGTTGATGGCCAAACTATCTACTTCCCCCTAATTTTTACATTTCATTTAATTCGAATACATGAAATTCGAGCACACTTCTTATCAAGAGTTTGTTTGTTTGATCACAGATTGATAACGGTGTAGTGCATCCATCCGGTCAAAAGTAAGGACAAATACTCACCGACGACACTGGCTGGTGGTCGCGCTTAAATCATTAATTGAAGAAGTTAGAATACGTGGCCATTGGGTCGGATCCCAGTGGTTGGA